TTTTACCCAATCCTGTTACCTCAACATGTCTGGAGTGTTATCCAATAACAGTGAGTTATGGGAGGACAGCGCAACGACTTATTTGGACGGTAGCATTCCCCTCTAGCTCTTAAATGTCCGGATTAACGAATCTTTCACTTCATAGACATTTACGCATTGGCAGGAATCTACTGAAAGGTGGATTTTCAGGAATGACAGTGTGTGTACACCAACGAGTTTCACTCTGTGCCGATAAGCCACATACTGCATGTTTTATCAGCGAGTTATATAATATTAAGATAAAGATAATTATATCATGCAGAACATAAGCTTTCATGATTGCGGTCTCTTCTGCAACGAAACATGAAACACTTTTTCTCACTACCAACTTTTGGGGTAATTGCATTGGAACAATTCCCGTGGTCGTAGGTTCGAATCCCAGAATCGCTCCGATCATGATTCGTGGCTTGTCAGTACATAACCGTACTCGTTGGTTTCAATTTGTAGCATCTAAGATTTGCATCAATGCAGGCTTTCTTCCCATATTAAGCTGACACACCGTGATATAACTGAAATACAGTTCAAAACAGCAATACACCGAATCCACTCACTCTATTCTTTGAGACTATGGATAAGTCAATTGTATCAGCTGTGTATTAAGTTTCTGGATAGAAAATGCATGTCAGAAGAATCACTTGCTAAGGAAAATCTAATCTAACAATATCATTGAGACACAGTAATGTACTACGCAACAGAGCGACAACTTTGACCTACTACATTTCTTAGTTATCTTTCTCGCACAGGGTGGCTTTGTTTGTAACCGCGTGACATGCGTTTAGATTTTGAACTGTGAGCCTGGCCCCCGCCCACTTAGAACAGGTAGCGGATACTTTATTCTGTATGACATTGATGTGTTGAAGACCTGAAGTCCCTTTTGTTGTCTTCTGGGGTAAGACATTTGGCTTCCGCTAACAAGAAAAGTATAGCACACGAAGAGCTTTTTTAAGGTAGGCCTCGCTTGCGTAAATATATTTCATTAGTTTAACTGGTCATGTTATAGCCCGTGTTAACAAATAATCTCAGAGAGTCCTCTCTGTGTATGGCTGTTGCTCTATGCTATTGTACAGAACGTCGTCAAATATATGACGTCATCAAGTTGCGAGCGCATGTTCGAATCTTCAGCAACGACTTCATGATAGAAAAATGTCTTATCGTGAAATGAACTACGCTTCACTGTTCGTATCTCTTTGCAGTTTATCGCATAGCTATTTACATATTGATTTAACTCAATAATGTTCACCACGTGAAACAACCATCATACCTGGTCTTGTTTTCATTTTACAGATACCATCACGCACGCATTACATCTCAGGATGGATATTCCCCATAGTCTTATCCTGCAAAGGAATCATGTATATCTAAAGGAGAACCTTCAGGTCGACCCTGTGCTGGATGCCTTGTACCAGGGCTGTGTCTTCACACAGGGAGACTATGACAGGTGTAGACAAGCTGCACCAGAGAGACAATGTGAACTGTTCCTGGAGATTTTGAAGAAAAAAGGGGTTGAAGGCTACAGGACACTGTGTGCTGTCCTCGATTCCACACAACAATTTATCAAGGAGAAACTTGATGAAACCTCAACTGAAGAAGGTATTTCAACCTATCACATGCCTCTTGATTCATATCGAATATAATATTACTAATCAAAATCTACAAAAAATGTTGGTGTTTTAGTTCAGGTTGGTTCTAAGCACCATAGGCTGTGAAATTGCAACTCATCAGATGAAGTTAGAAGGATTTTTTTTACTTAATACACATGTAGTTTTCAATGTGCATCAGATATCAATAATGTACACTTATTAACAATGAATTATCCCATATTGATCTGTGGAGAAATATTAATGTTTCCGCCCAGATTTTGGCTTACTGAAGTCAGTGTAGCTACACTCCCATTCATGCGGACTAAGAAAGAAAAGACAAATCATATAATATGTTCCTGATCGATACATTGGGGTAGGTCTTGGACACACGGACAAGTAAATGTTTCTAGGCGTTTTACCAAAGATAAATATACCAAAGTGCATGTTATAGTCCTGAGGCTAATTATATTTCCTATCCTGGCACAACATATTCCAATGTCCTTCTTCACTTCGATCATACAACGCATAATCTAAAACGTGTTCATCCAGAGCCCTCGTTGCCATTGCTTATTCTGTAACGGGTTATTCATTACGTCCCTTCTCATCAGACAAGTGATACAGGGGTGCTTTCTGTTGGGAACTATATCCTTTGACTTTGGGTTTATTATACACTCTACCTGAATAAAACGTCACAGATATCTTTCAAGAAAGCTGTTACAATGACGTATGTGGACAACTATCATTTTGGAACTTTCATTTGTGCATTATTGTTTATGTGACAGTGACAAAAATATTACCCACGATTGATTGTCCAAACTGTCGAAAGTGGATGTCAATGTTACCACAACTGTCTCACACCAGCGTTACTCCTCGTCTTGGATCGCCATCTGTCGCGCCGAATGGCTTCACTATAAGGGTCCTCGTCGTCGCATACCTGGGATGCATCCACCTGGCGATTGTCGCTAGTGATTGGAGCTCTACTGGGGATCAGTGCTTTGTCTGTGACTGGCGATCAACTGGCGATTGTCCTGAGCTTTGTATCTATTCAATGATTTTCATCTATCATTGAGTACAACGTCTTGCCATCAGACATCTTGCAAATAAATTACCCTGACAATTCTGCTCCTTCCCATATGGATGGCGCCTTCACATTTAATGGCAACAATGAGTGCATCAGTGTCTGGTATTTCATCGTCACCAGAACAGTCCCCAAATGCGCCTCTCTTCGTCCTGGGATTGGTGTGGACCTTTCTACCCTTGTACAAGTGTCTACTTGGGAACCGGCGCCCAGAGAAATACTATGAAGTCCACACCTTTCTGTGGGTGATCCAACGTTAAGAAAAGCAACCCCATCCTTGAAATGAGCTCTACTGCGAATGGCTATCAGAAAACCGTTTCCGTTTTCATCTTACTAACACGCAGAACTATACGTTATTTTAACCACTCATCACAGTTTTCCTCCACATTAGGGATGGGCAATTCCATCGGCGGCTACTCCACTTGGTAGATATTGACTGCTACAACTTCCAGGGCCATCCTGGTTTGTGACAGCAGTGCCTTCAGTTACACTTTCTCCAAGTACAGTCTTGTGATAATGCCTTAGCCATGGGGACGTGATCACACGAAAACTATCACGACTTCTATGTGCTTGGTGTCTCCGTCCCTGACACCTAACCATGTATTCACATATTCCAGATGTGCCAGTGAGCACTCCACAGACGTTAGCTGAAAATTTAGATAGTGGAGAAACTTTAAGCGGGTGTGACAATAACATTCTCGCCTCAGGCCAATTGACTCACAAGTTTCGCCCCAGCCATGATCAACTGGGAATAGCCAGCACTATTGGTGACAGCAACTGTGGTAACACTCCTTGACTTATTTGGCAGAACATTTCTACACGTTGCTGACCGGCGTGCCACTAGAGGCCTTGTTTCACCACATCTCGGGCGTTACACATGTCGTCGCAGACGCGATGTCAAGGCGACACCAGTCCACGCCAACATAATGACAAGTTCATCTGAATTTCTTTTAGGTGATTGGTTAACAGCTGAACACGCCCAACACTGATGTGGGCGCTACAAGATACGACAACCAGCTTCCAATGTTCGACTCTCCAATCTCAGATTCATTCTTCTGGGATCACGATCCACTGGCCATGTTCTGGAACACAATGCACACCTTCATATGATCGACACCACCACTACTACTTAGAGTACTGCTGAAGTTGAATAAAACTAGTGCCAACCACTTTCCATTGTGCCTTATTGGCTCAGGGGACTACGATTCAAGAACTAGAAAGATCACAGGAATCCCGGGAACCACCCTGGGAAGGCAACTCCGCAATGCATGCATGTAGCAGACTCATTGATCCCCATACCGTTGAACATCCACAACCATCAACCCATTCCTTGCCGTTTTCTAGGTCCAGAAGAGTCATGCTTGTATTTGGGAAGTCAATGCCTTGAATGTAACTTAACTTAAATTTGACAATGACCAGATGCCTCATATGGACCTAATGTGGGATTTTGTGGTCAAACAACATTGTTTTCCAGATATTCTTTGTGTCACATAGTGTCACAATAACTATTCAGAGGGATTGTTGGTCTCTGATGCTACGGGACTCACGTATTATAAGCCGCGCTGCGAGACACTGAAGCATCAATTTACATGTTCGAGTTAAGGATGTGGCAGGGAATATGGATTAGTGAGGATTACTCTTGCTGAGCATATTCTTATACATACATATTCCAGAGCTGGTCAGCAATAAGGCAAGCTGCTGTAGCGGATCCCAAGTGTTGCAATATGTTGTGAAGGGATAGAACATATGCTACATGAATTTGGTTATTCATGCTATTAGAATCCTTACATTGTCACAAAACGTCTCTGTCCCAGGCCTAAATACCACGACACATGCTGACGAGAAGGCAGTTGAGTATCAAGGACGGGTAACTCTGCTTGGTAACCAACGGCAACGTGTGTTCCCATATAGAGGTGAAGTGAGGTGAAATTGGGTTTAACGTCGCGTCCAAGATTATTGCACTTATACAGCGACGTGCATGCATGTGTATGCTTGTACTAGTCCGGACTGATGCCGATTTATAGTGCTAGCTCACTGAGATACTATGCCGCAGTTTAACATGAATACCCCACTCAGTTCCCATGTAGAAGTGGCCTGCTTGGGCTTCTATTTTATATGATCAAATGGAAATACATTGTGCCAGGATAAGTATTCTTATAACATGAATAGCAAACGTCGACAAGCAAGGAATTATTCCAAACAATATCAACTTTAAATTTTATTCCTTTTCAAAGATATATGACAACAGTCTTATAAATCTTGCCACACCCTGTCTACTGGCGCAATATTATATTTTCAGGTAGTTCAGATCTCGTCTATGTCAACAAGAAAAAGGTGGAAGCTCACCACAAAAAACAACTTGCTGAAAAAGATGGGAAAATAGCTGACATGCACTCTGTACGTTGTGGAGAGACAGCACAAGCTCGTCTATTTATTATGTTAAGAGCTCCCTTGTTTTGAGAAGAGACACATATTTAGATGCATATGCTTTTAACAATGGTAGTGATTATTAAAAGTACATTTACACCAACGTTGAAGTTTAGATCAAAAAGGAGTGTAACATGTAAAAAATGACATAAACTGCTACATGTATATGCAGTCGATATTTACTTCTTAAACGGTCGTTCGCGTTTGTTTTAAGGCAATGGAAAGACTTGAGGATCAAGTTAAACAAAAAGACACAGACTATGCTGAACTGGAAGAACAACTTGTAAAAGAAAGAGGGGATCTCACAACACAGATAGAAAAGAAGAATGAGGAAGTTGAAGCTGGTAATCTGACATTAATAATATATAGTTCAATATCGCTTCTATCCACAATTTTGATTTTGCTTATGTTGCCAGTAACAAATGTTATATTTGGTATAACACTTTCTTAGTGAAGTACAGATTCTCGCACTTGTTCAAGCTATGATTTTTTCGTTTGGTTTGTTGGCTAACGCCGCACTCAGTAATATTCCAGCTATATGACAGCGGTCTGTAAATAATCGAGTCTGGACCAGACAATCCAGTGATTGATATCATGAGCATCGATCCGCACAATTGGGATCGATGACATGCATCAACCAAGTCAGCGAGCCTGACCACCCGATCCCGTTAGTCACCTTTTACGACAACCATAGTCACCTTTTATGGCAAGCATGGGTTGCTGAAGACCTATTCTACACCAGAATCTTCACGGGTCCCGAAAGCTATGAACACACAATGTCATTTAGAAAGTTGTCATATGTAACAAATGTTATATTTGGGATAACACATTCTTAGAAAAGTACAGATTCCCGTACTTTTTTAGGTTGAGTCCCATCCGGGATTCGAACCCACACTGCCACTGCCGGATAGGACTCAACTTAAAAAAGTACGAGAATCGGTACTTAACTAAGAAAGAGTTATCCCAAATAAAACATTTGATCACTTGCTAAATGGCATCGTGTGTTCATATTTTGCAAGTGTTCACGGTGGTAATTGAACATCCTGGTTTCCAATGGCCTGTCTGTGATAAACAACTACATTGTATCATTTCTGGAAATATACTTATTCCCTATTTTCAATGGACCGTGCTATGCTATGTCCGGAATGTTGACGCATAAAACTGTTATCTAAGGCTATCCATGTATTTTTCTCGTTTCAGTGAAAACAAAATTGTCAAAGGCAAATGATGAGTTGTTGCAGATTCGAGCAAAATATGAAACAGTCGAGAAGGTGAGATTGGTTCAACTTAAATGTTGAAGGTGTTATTTTGCACAGCTTCTAAAATAAATGGAAATAAATTAACACGTAATATCTTCATAACAAGATACATGTCTGTGATGCAGTGATAACTGTCGTTTCAGAGACTACAAGAGGAAGAGGAGGCATATGATGCTGTATTGGGGGTTCCCAGGTCACAGTCCCCAGACGGGGTACATGTAAGAGAGGAAGTCCATCAAGCAGGTGCATTAAACAAAGTGACACTCCATCTTATATATGTAACTAATGAACAAAAATACAATAACACGGTAAGTAAGAGCCTGATTATGTATGTCTGATGAATCAGTTCCTTTAAGCTTTAAACTGATCGTGTCACTTGTTTTTCCTCAGATTCGACTGAGCGGATGTGTCAGTTTTCAACTAAGTGCTGTTGTGATGGGAGTCAGCTTTGCCTTCTTCCATGCCTTCATTCTGCCTGCAAGCCATCCATTGACCACCAAGTCACCCAAGCCAAGCAGAATTGCATACAGTGTCCCTCCTGTGGCCGTGAGTTCAACATGGAACAGACAGCAGTGGATCATGTCGGACGCAATGAAGCTGCCTATAATGCTTACGTTGATGGAGAGAAGAAATGTAACTACATCGAAGGAGATCATGATGCAAAAGCTGTGATGTACTGTCACGAATGTGATGACCTGCTCTGTTCCGACTGTCATAAACTGCATAAAACACTAAAACGCAATCGAACCCACAGAGTGAGTGAGATCAACCAGGCGGAGAATATCCCTATGAAGCAGTGGCTGAAAGAACCTAACTGCAGAGACCACCCTGACAATAAGCTGCAGCTCTATGACCACACATGTAAGCAGGCAATCTGCCTTGTGTGTGATCGAGGGGCCCACAAGGATCACAAGAATGAAGACATGAATCATGCCTATGTGGAAGCAAAGGGTCAGCTAGAGGAGCAGGTGCAGAAGCAACGACTTAAACTGAAAGATGTCACAGTCAGAATGAAAACTGTCAACAGTCACCAAAACGAACTAGGAAATAAACAAAGAAAGCTGGTACAAGATGCCACTACAGTCTTCAAAAGTGTTGCTGTACGGTTCCTTCAACGGCAGAGACAACTCATGAAGGACATACATGCGAGTCTTCAGGCCCCAAATGAAATGGTTAAAGAGAAGCTGGACACTTTACATGACGTCCATACTGCAATAGTATCAACGATAGACTACACCCAGAGAACACTTGAATCCACAAGACAGGAGGAGCTCATTACCCTCACCGGTGTACTGCAGAAGAAATCTGATGAAAATCTGAAGAGGAAGCTTCCAGAAGATAACACACAAGACACGAGAGTCCTTCTTTCCTTTCAAGGACAGAAAGCCCTTGTTGAACTAATCGACACATTTGGTGGTCTTGCCTCCAGTCTCGACTTGGATCATATTCCAGATAAACAGCCTACTTTACAGGGTAAGAATGCTTCTTCAAAATTAAAGTGATTTAGCTGTTAAAAGCAGATTTCACTGTACATGTCAAAAATACTGAAAATATTTACCAGATTCCTTATATGAATGCTTTGCTTTGTGCTTACAATATCCTTTTATCACGATGTACTCTACAATTCTAAGAGGTTTCAAAGAAATGATTTTTCTTATACGTATCCTGTTCTTGGTATCTTGTAGTCTCTGACACAAGCTGTGTTTCAACACACTGAAAAGTGAGTTGCAAACAGAATCCTGTATCATGAACGACATTCCTCGATCCTGTAGAAGAGCATTTTCTTTGTTCCGATATGGAGTCGCCCCTATCCGTGTTGCAACTGGTCGATATTGTAACCCACCAGCAAAGGGAACATGTTTTCACTGTTGAAATGTAGTAGGAAATGAGTTACACATGTTAATAAGCTGTCCTTTATATAACGACTTTAGGGATGACAGTATACTACGTTTATAACAAGCACGCTTATTACACTAAAATTAGTGGTCCCCTCGATTTCGTTATAACCGTAGTTTACTGTATCTGTTTACAAAAATTTCAAACCATGGAATTGTTTTCATTACAGAGCAGAGATGTTGTGTTTTATTTTGTCATGCCCTACATTGTATTAACTTAGTGCCAAAACCGGAACACTGATAGTGGACTTTAGGAACAATATCCTATATCATAGCTAAGTGTTTTGTGTATATTTTAAGTTATCTTACCTCGCATGCCTTAATACGATTATTAATTGATTTAAAAGTATCTTGCTTTTCCATGTACAGTGGCCCAGTTTTATATTTGACTTGTATTATATCTGAGGTGAGACGAGAAAATCTTAGTTGTCTGCCTCTCTGTCTGTCTGTTTGCCCGTCCGTATGTACGATGGGTAAGAGGAAAACTGTTACTAATAACAAGGTATTCAATCTTTGTTTGTAATTGTCTCTTCAGATCTCCATAAACTGAATATACAGCTGGCATTAAAAGAAGAAACCAGCGCGGTAATGTATTGCTTTCGCAACAGAATGTTGTTTTTATAAACATGTTTTCTAAGAAAGGGTTTCAATGGCTCTTTACATTGAGTACATACTTGGCTCAAATTGTGAGTAAAACATATGTTAATCAACACAGTTGGAATCAAGTTGCACATCGTTCCTAACACCCACATAGCAAAATGTTACATTCAGTCGATAAATAAATAATGTATGTGGTATGATATGATACATAGCTGTTCTGTGAGCCAAAGGTTATGTTCTGATCTCTATGGTGTCAGCGATGTTGTTTCAGGTACATGAAGGGCGGTGGCATCGGCTTGGGGAGATGATCCGTCGCATCACAGGTACAATGGAACACCTGGATGTAGGTCAGGAAAAGCAGATTTAATACCAAATGAACTACACTAACCTTCAAACTTTAAAATAGAATATCAATGTATTCAGTGTATCAGTTTAAGACTCACTGTCTGTTTATATAAAAGAGTAAATGATAAGACTGTAGTTAGATTTATTATTGAAATCCAATACATTTATCTACCAACAGGCTCTGCTACAGGTGGAGATGGATCACAGGGACTTCAACATGAACAGCTGACACCACAGGATCTCCGACCTGAACAGCTGACACCACAGGAAGCTTATGAAGTTGTCACACGTGTACGTTAAATGACAAACAACCCCCACCCCCTCAAAATGTAAACTGCGAAGTATAGAAGAAAAGGAAATCATTCTAAATTGTCTAGCCATTTATACATAGAATTTACATAATGTGTCAAGCTTATTAATAATATGTTTTCAGTTTATACTCGGAGCATCCATCCTTTCTGAGTCGCCTACACATGGTTTATACTTGAGAGGTATGTACAACACGATATGGGATTTAGTTATTTAGTAAAAAAATATATCTCGAATGTCAGAGTTACTGTCACTTGAGTTGTAAGATGTTCAATAGATTTCCAGGTAAAGGATACATGACCCATAGCAGTTATGTATAGCAAACAGTTCCACCTGTTTAGTGAGCGATACTGTACGCCACATACCACATCATCAAACGTCCTTGCTACTTTAAAAGATAACATGTAATGATAGGCGAGGCCTCGGAAATGCATGACCTCTTTCGTTTGGATAATATTCATTATACATGTTACACTTTAAAATCGTTGCTTCATGTCAGAAAATACATAGTTATTAGGAAGTTTTATCTAGATCAGTTAATGTAGTTCACTGCACAATAAAAGGCAAAATGAGGTAACTAGCTTCACTTGTGTGCTTCCCATCTGATGTTTAGGCATGTGCTGCCCATGTCGACATTTGTTTGTGTACATTTGTACCCCTTAATCGTGCCATGATCCTCTGAACTTAGTATCATGGATTCATGGATTCAAATCCTAGATTCGACCAGATCATGGTTTTAGCTTCAAAGAACCTTATGCGTGTTTACTCTTTTCAACAACAGTGAAAGACTCACTCGCACTTTACTATGCTTTCATGTGAGAATAGTATTCAGAAACAAATGTGCCAAAATCATGTATTACAATGAAAACTATATTTTGCAGGGTACTCAAGTCCAATTCACATCATCAACAAGAACAGAAGTGTCATATTCATAACATGTAAGTGTTTGTTTATCGTAGTTAATGTTTATTAGGCAATTGGGTTAAGCAATAGTTTCTAGCATACAAAACCACTTAAAAAGTCAGTTGCTTACAATGTATTACCTGTATTACCATCGTGTGTCACCGGCGTTGATCGTAGTACGTGTTATCAATCACCGGTGTGCTGGATGCGACTTTATAATGACCAAACGTCCATGACGTAAATGGAACATGGAAATGTAAATGAAAAGATTAATACTAAAGGGATCAAAACAAGTCACGTGTTGGAAGCTTGTACATCCAGCAGTTGTAGTGAGGGATAAGGGATTAATCATGACTGAGAACACATGGAATGGGCTTCACACATTCGACCCTTGTTGGGAGTCAAACCCGACGTGAACATGGTAGCCATTTAAACCCAAGGCTACTCCACTACCACTCCAGCAGTTGTACTTTCCAGTTTTGCAATCGTATGGGTGTTCTCATACATGTATGTTTTCTGTGGGAGCATCTTCCAGAACGGTAGAAAGCTGTAGTGTAGTACGGCAGGAGGTGAGCTGTGTGAAACACAAGAAAACATTGATAGGTAGCACAAATCAATGGTGTATGATGAAAAGACAATGTGCTCGAAACTCACAAATATTGTTTATATCAGCTGAGCGAAAACTGCAATCAGGTTCACCCACATTTTGTGTCTAGTGTCCATGCAGGTTCCATGTGTGTGGCCATGGCTGGTGTTCCCAGCTGTGTTATTGCTGGAATACTTCTAAGCGGTGTAAAACCATATTCACTTACTCACTTAAAGAAATAGGCTCCAAGCATACAATTCAAATCGTTATGAGAATATTCAGTCTCGATTATCTACAGAAACATATCATATACGGCAGTAAAGGCAAGATAGTGATTAAAAAGTATGTGACCGAATCACTGAAAATTAGTTGATAACACCAGGTTTCCGCGAAAATGGACGTCCTTCTCTACCAGTGACACCCGGCAATTTTTACAAGAATTACATGTTTTTGTGTTTGTCCTAACGCCGAAAACTAACAATACTACTCCCATACGAATGCGGCCTGTAAACAATCGAGTCCTGACTTGACAATCCAGTGATCAGTATCATGAACAATGACCCACGCTGGCGGGGTACGACGCTACGCCGTCAACCAAGTCACCAAGCATGTGTGGGGATGTGTGAACACTCCCTATAGAGGTCATAGTAGGAAACAGCATCGCGCATCCTTTGACAATTAGCGTGTCATATTTGGTAAATTCCTCTGAACGTCTGTCATAGGATATCTGGATTAGATTAGATGTAATTGTCTTGACCAGGCCTGTGAGGGTTACTCCTTGATTAAAAAGATAAGATGTAAACGCACAAAATGTGAATAATCTGACATCCTCACTTCAGTCCCCAAACAACCGGGATATGTAGACGTCATAAGCTGGGCTGATCTATCATGACCTCGACATCATCGTGGAAATTAAGGATGTCAAAACAAAGGCTAAAAAAATCATATTATTGACAAGGCATTACTTCCCATTTGTGCAGCAATTTCGAGTAATGACGAAGTTAGCCAACCAGCCAACTTGAACTTTGCACTTCTTTGATTTTTTTATTGATTTTTATTGTTTTGAGGTGCTATCACATATGTGTGACAACACAATAAGCAGTGTCCTAGCCAATTTGCGTTTACTCCTTGTGGGTGTTTGTTTTAATTTTGTTTATTAGTTTTTAGTCTACCACTACATATGTAACACTTGTAAAAGTTCAGCTTTTTTATAGAAGCACCTCATATAGCGGTGAGGTAGGCCAGTTTGATCGTCACGTCAAAGATGAGGGTTCGATTCCCCACATGTGTACAATGAGCATGTGAATTCCATTTATGGAGTCCTTCGCCGTGATATTGCTGGAATATTGCTAGAAGTGGCGTATTTACAATATTCACTCATGTGAATCACACTAACTATGTATATAAATTCGCTCGTCACGCCGAAGACCCGGGTTCGATTCCCGACATGGGTACAATGTGTGAAACCCGTGTCTGGTGTCCCCCGTCGTGATGTTGTTGGAATATTGCTAAAAGCAGTGTAAAACCATACTTACTAACTCACTCACTCACTCAATGTACAAAAATAAATATACATGTAGTTTTGATGTTGATTTCTTTGGTGGTTGTTAATGTGAAACATGTGTAAGTGCCTTTTTCTCTAATAACATAGTAATCATCTATTTCTTAATAACACCTGTGTTTTTTGGCGGAAATGAGAATGACATTTCATTAAATAAAGGTACAGAATAATGTCCATGTTTACTGAGGAATTTTGACAAGAATTGTCATTTTGAAGTAAGACGAGTTCTATTGATGAACAACTTCTTTATTGCAATTAGTGCGACGTTTGGGTGTAGATCCTAACACCTTTATCAAGGTGAATGAAGAGTGCTAAACAACATAGGTATATATACTTATTAACATCAAAGTTAATACAGTATATAATTGATGGACACAGAGAGTTGATTAAGATAATTGGAAGCCAGTGGATAGGGAATAGGGAGTAGCCCGTATTTAAATTTTAAGCTGTTCCATATTTGTGAATCTCTGGGCCGGGTTTGATGACTTTTCCATCATCAGCAGGATGAGGTAGGTTTCAGATGAATGTAAGTCACCATTATCACATACCAGATGGAAGTAGTGTGAATTAGTCCGGGATTGTCCATCAACAATGGATACGTTATGCAATGTCATAATAATAATAATATAACTGTTTATACAAATTATTCACAAATACTTATTCCAGTCAATACACTTGACGTAAAAAACCTCCCAGCACAGCGAGTGCGCTTATCACTGTGTTCAGTGACTGAAGCGGACGTAGAAGTTACCATTGTGTCTGTTGAACACTCAACTATAAAGATATCACGAAACAACACTTTTGTCTGTCTCAGTCTTTACTATTATGTAAAATGAGAGTCTAGAATCCCTACAATGATAGTTTAATCTAATCGTGAAATAACCTTGAAACATTTACTTAATGAGGCAGTGGGAGTATCTAAGTATCTAAAATAACATGTATTTGTTTATCAATGCGTGAAAAATTGTACAACAAACAATTTGAGCACCCATCCAAATTATATCACAGCATTATTATTTAAATTAAGAGTACAGTTATCATTAAATTCGTAGGCAGATGAAAATGGCAACCGATCAATTATAGCACTGCTTTTGGAACATTGAAACAAAACTCATCAACAAAATGATTCATTGTAGTAAGTGCAATTGCTAAACTACAAATAAAAAAATATATTTCCAGGTCCTAAACTCCAACTGGACGCTGCTCGAGCCAACACAGACTGCTGCCATGTAACTACAGACGGTGAGCTGGTCAACTCGCGACCCGCCATACGACACAAGGACAGTGGCAGGCTACAGGAATATAGGGGCACGTGTACCTCCACCCCCATCCTACTTGATCCACCCCCCTCTAGTGTCACCCCTGCCTCCATCACACCACCATACTGGGAAACCCGCTCCAGGGTGGGTGTGATGAGTGCAATGTATGGGTTGCGTGGGATGCCTGTCCTGGAGATGGGTGTAGTGGAGGAGAGCCAGGTGGACAGTGATATGTATGTTTATCCACAGCGCCGCTCCTGGTGTGTCAGTGTAAGGAACTGCACCAGACACTCGGGGAGTATCTGTACCGGGGTGTGGCAGGAAGGGGAGGAGGGGAAGTGTTACAGAAACACAATGTCTGCCACACCCGGCACACAGGCCACCCTCCACTATGGAGTTGTGCTGGATGTTGGGAGGGGTAGACTCGCCTTTATCGACCTGGTCAGGCAGGTTGTTTTAGCAAAGGCTAATGTAGAGTTTCGTGAGGCTCTTCTCCCTGTGTTTGGTGTTGGTTTGCCATTTGCCTTCACAGTAAACATGAAGTTGATCTGCGGGGAGCAGATCGTCATGACTGACACAAAAAGATCACTCATTAATGAAGCCCTGGCCTTAGGCATGAACTGAACATGGCACTGTGTAAACTTGTAAATGTGACATATCTACTCAAACTGTCAAATACAACACAACACTAGTGAAGAGGAGGACGTAGAAGTAGCCTGTTCATGTGTTGTTTGTTGTGTACAACCATGTAACAAGGTTAGCTAAGTGTGTTGTTTTCCTACATGACTGGTTTCTGTTTTGTATTAGAAACATTTTACATCCACACATGAGTATTGTTATGATTATTAATATATAATACCTGATCAGTTTATGAACATTTCACACATTTCTAGGAAATGTCACAACAAGCAACTGAGTAAAGCGATTTTCAATCATGAATATGTGGTCATATTTCGCTTCCATTCTGTAAAATAACAATTTAAAATACCCACATGAATAGTGTTGATTTGAAATTGACAGATCTAAATATATTCCACTTTTGATGTAAGTGATGAAAATGATTGAAGCGGACATACAATATGTCAGCTTACATGGCGTTCTTGGGTAGCTAAGTTCACTGAATTGTCTGTTTCTTTTTGACAATGTGTCCTGCTGTGAGTATCCCCATAGAAGTGTTTTATAGTATGTTCATTTGATCTGTACGGTGGCCCATAAGGGCTGTTTTTCAAAGAGTCTGTTTTTCAATATTTTCATATTTCACTTACTTTTATGGTAACCATTTGCAAATTAACACAATTTGTCATACAAATATGATAAATTATGTATAAAAACAACAGAAAACATGGAAAATGTACTTTCAAGTAGCTATAGAATTGCTGAAATGTGAAGCGAAAATGTCAAAAACTAAAATGGAAAAGTCAAGAACAAAACCGAAAAGGTCAAAAACTAAAATAAAAATGTCAAAAACAAAAACGAAAATGAAAATACAGAAAACTATTTCCACCGCGGTAACAGAATTGGTTTTAACAACTTGGCTCTCGATACACATTGATATGAGTTCTTAAAAATGTAGGGTTTCTAAGAATTGCCCAAGTGCAGCACTTGGTCTACATCCAACAATGAGGTTTGCAGAAATGCACAATACAAAATGTCACTCTTAGAATACAGCGCCATTTTAATCTTACTTGACCCTGTCTCTGCCATTTCATCCTGTATCGCTATGAAATAATTTGATATGCAGTAACTACATTCTAAACCTGTTGTCACGAACTTAAATGTGGCGATCCTCTAGTAATTGACCAGGTTTAACGAGGCGGATAAACTATGTCGACAATGCCACCATCCCTCAAGTCGACTGGTAGAGTGTTCTGTATGTTGATAAATGTACGTATTTATTTACCGTTATTATTTCATCATGTCATGATATTCCAGTGATGTAAATAAAATGTATATAGATGCGTAAATGTATTTATTACCTACGAGGGCAAACATATCGAGGTTCAAATGTGCCCTAGGGTTTTATCACGTAACGAGACAAGAGTGTATTGTTTTCGTCATTCGGACGGCATTGTTGACGTCATTCGGGCGGCATTTTTGACGTCATTCAAATCTTATTGTGACGTGAGTGAGTGAGATGGGTTTAACGCCGCTTTTAACAGTATTCCAGTTATATCGCCGCGTGTCAGCTTAAAATGGGAGGAAAGCCCGAAGTGATGCAGGTCTCAGACGTTTACCACTTCGGTGAAACCCACGAACACGGGTATGGTGCTGACAAACCTATCAACATAATCGGAGCGAACCGGGATTCGAACCCACAATCATCGGTTTCTGGCGTGACCAAGGGATGCTACTCTGCACAACGAATCGCGGCGCCTTCGACGACGTTATAGCTGAAGATTGTTGACATCAGTCGACAAGTTGTGGTTCTGCTGCTGTTGCGACATCCTGCGATGTAGTCCCGTCTCTGTATGTGGACATCCTCTTCGGTAATAAATAGAACATTTCATTAATGTTCAGGTCATACTACGTTTACGACACTCGGCGCCTTCGACGACGTTATCGCTGAAGATTGTTGACATCAGTCGACAAGTTGTGGTTCTGCTGCTGTTGCGACATCCTGCGATGTAGTCCCGTCTCTGTATGTGGACATGGTATGACATGAACTCATATACTATCCTCTATCTATGACACATGCTTCTGATGCTATTGGTTATGTCTTTCCAAATATTGCACAATACAGCACAGCATATTTGCATGTGTTGATGTGTCGAACACTGGATAGGTCGAACTATTTCTCTGGTCAGTAAGGGTTCGAGACAATGGGGTTCAAATGTTGTGATTATACCAGGTGTTCACGAACGGATGAGCGTATCCCGCAACACCGATGGCACCCGTCACAAATACATGCAAGTGCAAGTCAACTGTTCACCTGAAAAACATGGGAACATATTGGTATGAGTTAAACAAGAGTGCTCTGAGAGCACAAAATCCCCCGCGTGAATTTTTTTAACGAGTCAAATGAAGCTCCGTAAAACAGGCTCACAATAAGGCAAATGAAGCTCCGTAAAACAGGGGCAGTAACTCTGTCAAAATTAGTCAAAACGAAACGGGACTGCGATATGCGTATCATCAACATGTCGACATTGTGTGTGTAGAGTGTCAGGGATACTCTCTGAAAACTGTAGGAGGAGTTGATTTCACAAGCTTAGTACCCTCTCTCATAATAAGGCAAATGAAGCTCCGTAAAACAGGGGCAGTAACTCTGTCAAAATTAGTCGAAACGAAACGGGACTGCGATATGCGTATCATCAACATGTCGACATCTTGTGTGTAGAGTGTCAGGGATATCTCTGCAAACTGTAGGAGGTGTTGATTTCACAACCTTAGAACCCTCTGTGGGACGGACAGACGGACGGACGGACGGACTGCGCCACGACATAATCCCCTTCGGCCATTTCTGGCCCGGCGGGGGATAAAAAGGGAATTCCATTGGAGATATTATTATGTTGATTGTCATACTTGGAAATATCCTTCACATGTCTACCTTGAATTGAATCACTCTCCAGCACTAAAGTACTAACATAATGTCATAAAAAGGATTTGTATTGTTTAAATACCATACCGGGAGAAAAGAAAAACACGTGTACCATTGACCACTTTTAATCAGACTCTCAAATAATCAAATATCCAGATTAAGTTAGTACCCGATACGAATTCCATCTGCTTATCTGCATGATGATGTTCCTGAATCCTAACTTCAAGCACATTGGGATTGCAAGCATGTTAAAGAGTTTTGGGCAGTAGAATAAAATATTCTGTTTTACTTGAGTACAAATCTGACGTTCTTCTAAATCCCATCCATATTGGTATGCAAACTATAATGTATTGTATCAATTAATAAGAAAAACACATCTGAAATCTTTATGGAGAGTATAATCAATATATACTCTGAAAAAAACGTAAAAGTGATTTTAGAGGTATAGATATATTTTTTATATATCATATTAGTAATCAATATATGGTAATCGATTGTTCTTAATTGGCACACATCATTGTCATTGACACATGTTCCAAATGGCACACATGGAACAGTAGATTTCAAGGTGAAGGTCATCTCAGCTCAATATCCTGTATGACCACCATTAGGGTCCCAAACTGACAGGCCCCATGGAAGCAATCAGATCCCGAGTTGTGGCCTGGGGATTGCAGTGCTCTTCCTGCAGTGCTTGTGCCAACTGTCGGAGGTTCTGTGGATGTTGCTGACGTGCTCGCATTCGTTTACACAGTGCATCGAATAAATGTTCGATTGGCTCTTCGATCTGGTGACCTGCAGCTGGAAGGCCATGGCAGGACCTGGATGTTGTGAATCTTCAAAAGGCTGTTGTCAGTCTTGCCGTGTGAGGTCGGGCGTCTTCTTGTTTGAAAATGACGTTCGCTTGTTGCATAATGGACGGAACGTGTAGCCGAAGAATCTCATCCCTTGAGCTTGCACTTAGTCTGTTCTACCAGTGTAGGAGATGCCTGCTCGCATCATCACACTACTACCACCAAATCTGTCAACTTCCTGTATGCAGTTTCGGGCATAACGTTCCCCGCAATGCCAAAAATCATGACGTCTGCCAACCGCGCGGCGAAGCATAAAACCAAACCAAACGTGACTCCATCGCAGTTGTGGTCATACTTTGTGACATCATTGACATCACAACCGACGATTCAAGTCCGTCAAAATGACCCCTCGAACTATTCGTCTAGAGTGAATACCTTCAGCGTGAAAACGGTTCCTCGCAGTCTGGGCTGATATCGAACGCAATCCAGGTATCGACGTAGTTGTAGGGGTGGCTGTGGTGGTTCTTTAACGTAAGTGACGTAGCCGTATACATTTGTTTTGTGCTCTAGTAGTGATACGTGGTCGACCGGATCTGGGAAGGTCACGTGTTGTCCCGTGTATCCGATAACGGTTCCACTGTGTCGTAATGGTGCTTGGTGCTACGTGGAAAAGCCTCGCTTCGGCCGAAGATGATTCACCTGTATGCAGTCGGCCGACGGCGCTGCAGTCGGCTTCCGTTAGTCGAAGCATGTTTTCTTGCTCACTTGCTGAAAGATTGTGATGGCATGCTAATGAAAACCCAACGTTTTGATAGCCAAATAATTGATGTTGCACATGCATGTCATGCTGGTCTGTTTCGGCGCCAGGCTCTCACGCGGAGACGACTACGCATTGTCTGAGTAGAACGTTGGCGTCAATGGTGTTCTACGGGTCATTTCTGAGTGTGGGGTGTGACTTTTATGCAAGCTCCATGCATTTCTCTAGCCAAGAATGGGTATAAAACATGTGCCTTAACGGGATTCCAAATGCATTGTTTAGCATCGTGCTGACAACAACCACTCAGAAAAGCAATTATTCAACATTTCGGAATGCCACGTCTGTCCGAAAATGAGCATCTGCGAGCCATTGGAATGCTTGAAGCAAGATTGAGTCAACGTGATGTTGCAAGACAATTTAACGTCCTCAGAAACACCATTTGGTGTTTATGGCAACGTTGGCAACAGACGAATGCAGTCAGAGACCTTCCTCGGAGTGGAAGGCCACGCGAAACCAATAATCGACAAGACAACTGGGTTCGAACATCACACCTACGAAATCGATTCCAGCCAGCAACAGTGACTGCAAGAAGCATCCCTGGCCTTCGACGAATAACTTCACAAACCGTACGTCGCCGCCTCAGATGTGCAGGGATTTTCGCCAGAAGACCCGCCAGACGTCCT